AAGCAAATAGTTGTACATTGCTCACTGTAGCGGCCTCTTTGGTCACAATGGAATACAGGGAAATACCCACCATCCGCACACACACACAATCCCTCTGACGCTGGCCATTTTCACTGCTTTCAGCACTTTTTCCTGCTGTGCTCACAAAACCTAGCACCTCCATTATTTATTTTTTTACCCTCCAGCCTTTTTTTCTTTCACACCCTGAACACCACACACACACAAACACACATGCAGACGGACGCACCTTGCCTGTCTTTGTCTCCCTTGTCTCTTCTTTAATAGTGTGTTCATTAAATAAAGCAGTTTTGGGGGAGGGTGGATTCCATCCTGAAAAGGGGGCACAGGGGGAACATGGAAGAGGGGGCTGGTGGAGGGGTGCGCTGTTGTTGCTGTGATGCCCTGGACTGCTGGACAAAGAGTCTCTCTATCGGGTGGTGTAGATGTGGATGGTGGGTGAAAGGGACTTTTTTTTTTTTCTTCCTTTACTCAATAGGTGTGGCCTTAGGCTGGATTACCTGGTATCAGCCAGATGATTGTCTGGTTGTGATCACACAGCGTACAGCCCTGCCCAGGCGGCCATGATGGAAATGTCAAATGCCCAGTCTGTGTTTGGCCTCTCTTTATGTGCTATGTGTGTGTGTGACTGTTGATTTGGTCATAGGAGCCAGAATCACAGGGAGTGTTTCCAGCATAGCTGGTCATGTTGGCATCACTGCTGAAAACAACACTCCCTGCCTTCTTCAGTCTTTCTGTCTGCTTGTGTCTTTCTTCTCTTCTTGTCTCTTCTCCTTGTGTGTTTCTCCTCTCTCATGCACATAAATAGTCACATACAGATGCACATACTTTGTAGAATTCAGATGGTTTGAGCTGCAGGTCTTGTCTTCAATGTGCTATAAATCTCCCCAGCTGTAATATTCAGGAAACCTTTGAAACAACCAGCAAATTACCTGCTGTAAAATCTGACTAGCACCCTGGCGCAGTGACTTACCTCTCAAAGCTCTTGCAGTACTATTTTTATTCAGTGAGTCTAGCGAAAACCCCTAATTAAAGCCTTTATGTCACTATATGTTATTAAAAGTCATAAACATAGACAGACACAAGCAGCTGGGGGTCTGGAATGTGTGTGGGGGAGGTATTATTCAGATTGAGCTTTCAGACTCAGTGTGAGATTAGAGTAATGTAATACAGTAAGCAACACTGGAAACTGAACTCATCCTATTGGCAGTGTTTTCATTTGTTTTAATATAAGATTTTAGAATATGCCTGCAATGTCTCTGCAACCAATTTGAAGTGATCTGGAGTTTTGATACGGCTACCACTAAACTGAGTCTGAAGTGTTTATAAATTCTCTAAAAGCTTTTCTGTGTGGTCTTTGTTCTTGACTTCTTCTTGCCACTTTTCATTGTTTGTCCCAGTTCCAGAATCCACGTTCGCAGTCCCCAGAGATCTGATAGCAAAATGTGGCAAGTTTGCTTTATGATATTAATAATATTAATAGCGCTGTGTGTTTTTTTTAAGTATAGGAAGCAGGAACAACAGAGGAGCTGTTGTCAATGAATGTTGTTGCATTAATTAACTCATCTTGCCAGAAGGATATCTTAGAGGAAACATCCAAAAAACAGCATCTATCTCTTGCATGTTGAGCAAGACTGCCAGGATGGTGATCAAACAGCTCAACAGCAGCAATCTGGGCAGGCAGGGAGGTAGGGAATTAAAGCTCTGATCTGTTTTTTAATCACTGCTCTCCACGTCTCTGCTTCTCTACATCTGACACCAGACAACTTTGCAACTCTTAAAATCTGTCATCTGGGTATAAACTGGAAATTCCCCAAATATTTCCCCCAAAATAATGACCGTGGCAGGGCAGAGAGGCATGCCAAGACATATAATACTGTGTCCTCTTAAACTGGATGTTTTTTCATGGATTGTTTTAACTTTCTGAGGGATCAGATGAGAAAACTTTGTAACAGAGGGTAATGCAACAGCATATGTAAATTGTCTTTTACTGGTAAACATACCAGTAGTATATTTAAGGACTTTTGTGCTTATATTTGAGTTTGCTTTTTCTTTTGCATGTATTTACAAAACAAATACAAAAATAAAGAAAAATAAAAAAGCATATGACAACCCAAACAAAACAGATCACAATCTGAAATAACAGTAGACAAACCAAAGTAATACAACAATGGAAATATATTGATGGGATTTGTCAGTTACACTATTTAAGGAATAAAAGCATGGATAAACACATACATACATTACACGCATTACACAACTTATAGAAAAGGTTGGCAAAAATTGTCCAAATTTGATAAGACATGGCATGAACATTAACCTAAACAGGCTGACTGAATATAAAAACATATTTTTTATTCCTTAAATAAAAAAAAGTGCCTTTATATGTTCGGTGTTTGGTGGGGAAAAAATGCATTGACCACCGGGCTGCCATCCAACAACTACCACAGATTTTTTTTTAATACAACCACTATGGTAGCAAGGCATAATTGGGCTTTATAAGTACTAATCAGCTGTATTCTTTCATTTTCCTCCCCTTGCAGATTTTAAAGTCATTGTTTTGATTGTTATGCACAGTCTGCATACTGTTGCAGCACATACATTCACTGTGGGCACAGTAACACGCTGAATTCCATGGCTCAAAAACTCCTAAACACAGCCATTCCCCACCTCTCCCCTCTCCTCTCTTTGTTCCTATCTTTACACTTCTCCTCTCTCCTTCCCCCCTTCACTACCTCTTTATGCTGTTTCCTTTGGTGTTTCTCCTCTGAGCGCCGAACTCCCATAGACTTCACTGTGCTGCCGAGGTTCGATCCCAATTCCCCACATAGTTGTTGCCTGGGCCTCATTCATGGAGCCTGTTGACTGGCAGTGTGAATGTCCAAGCCTCATGTTTCACTCTGTGTCCAAACCCTTTTCCACCATCAATCATGGGAGAAAAACATGTCAAAGCTAATAATTAGTGACGGGATCTTAAAGATTCCGTTTTTATTTTGTAATAACTTTTTCTGCAACTGCAATTTTTGATAATATAACAAAGATAACCGAAGTCAAAGATGCTTGACATGATGTGGCTTTAATGGGAACAGCTTCTCTTTTAAACAAATCATGTTAATGAAGCTGTTTTCACTATGCCCACGCTAAAGATATATGGTTTAGTTGATCATACTGAACCACAACTCTCTCCTCCAATTGGTGATGCAGCTGGACTAATAGAATTCATATGAATAGTAGAGTATCAATAACATCAACAAAAATTACTTTGTTAACTCCATCACTTTACACAGTTGTAGTCAAAGATTTAGTATTGTATTTTGAAAGTACATTTTGCAATACTGTCACAGCATATCTTGAACACATGTCTATTGCTTTTTGTTTAAAAAAAAGTCTGCATCTCTCACAATGTTTGAATCATTATAATAGTCAGATTTAGAAGGTGATGGCGCTGAGTAATGCACTTTGAGTAACAAGGGGGGAAAAGAGGCCTGTATAGTCTCTGAGTACAGTGGTGTGTCTGTCTAATATAAACATCAGGAATGGACCTGGAATAATTCTGCTTTGTGATTTTGAACTCTTTTAAATGGAAGTTACAGCTGCAAATGTTTCCATATTCCAGATGCTACAGTTGAGCTGTAATTGCCAGTGCAGCCTCAGAATGAAATAGTGGCTATATTTTTATTACTTTACAATGTAGAATACTGCAATCATGTTAGAGTAAGTTTTTAGAAAGATATAGAAAATGGAGAAAAGATGGTTCCCATAATGAGTGGGACATATTCTTTTAAATATTGCAAGCACAAGTCAGCTTTGATAGTGGATTAAAAAAACTATCACGTTTAATATAAAAATTATAGAAAATTATTAGGCTAGATAAATTGTTGGAAAAGATCATTTATTTTGTTTCCTCTCCTCCATAAATTATTATGCTCTTTACACTGTTACTAAAGAAAAATAACAGCACTGAAAGACCTGAGGGGTTTTAACTTCAGATATGCAGTGCATCCCGTGTGTGAATTTTTCATGTTACTGTACTTCCAACACCTCTATCTCAACGTCTGTGTATTTTCTCCTTTATTGGTGGGGCAGGTGGGAGCTGGATTACCTGAAGCAAAACCTTAGCTTGTTTAGCCCATGCTATAAAAAAAAAAAAGACATGGTGCAGGTGCAAAAGCTGGAAAAAGGTTATTTTTTAGCAGTAAAGGTTCAGGCCGAATGCGACTCAGGAGAGGATAAGGGGATTTCACAGACAGCTAAGTTAGTTTGTTTATCACTGCAATGACGGATGCTTATGGCAATGTACAAACAGATTTACCCCATATACAGCCTGTGATTCACCCACACGCAAGTAGATACACAAATACAGAATTTAATGGCAGCTGTGGTGTGTTAGTTCATCATCGTCTCTCTTTCATGAATGTAGCTTTCCTCCCAGGTTTCCACAGAGAGGCCCTTAAAAGGGCTCTTAACAGAAAGCAGGATACTTCAGAGATTTCTCAGGCAACAAGAGCATGGTGAATAATTCAAAGCAAATTTACAGCATGTTGCCATGTAGCCATATCTGCAGAAAGTTGCCTCACATGCAAGGCTTCACTGGTGTGTATTTATACATTTACATGTTGGACTCCTGGTCTGTGTTTTTTTCCCTGTTGTTTTGAATTCTGGTCACTTGATGGCTTCTATTGTAATGCAAGATGTAACTAAAACACTACTAAATTACTAATGTCTTATTATTTATTATTCTCAGTTTTATATTTTTATAAATTAAATATCTTTGAATCACCCACCTTGACAAATTGTAATAGACATTTGTCTGACATTTTATGGACTAAAAAAGTACCTAGTATCTTTACATTGTATTTTAGGCTCAATTGTCCTGCTACTGTCATACTATAAAAATGTTTTTGATACAAAGAAATGAATATATGTTTTCTGTGCTTTAAAAAAAGTGGTTGTAATTCTTTACATCATCCTCTGTCTTTCAGCCTGCCCGTCAAGCTTTTTCAAGCCGACTCAAGGAGATGAACCCTGTATGCAGTGTCCCATCAACAGCCGTACCACCAGTGAAGGCGCCATTAACTGCGTTTGCCGCAACGGATACTACCGAACCGACTCAGATCCTCTCCAGATGCCGTGCACAAGTATGTATAGAAATGAGGTTGATATATGAGAACTTTCACTTGCACTCCACACATAGTACACAGACATGAATACATACTCACAAAGTCTTTGATTTCAAATATAAACTCTTTGACACATTTCACAACCGAAAGCAGAAGAGCCTCGGGATCAAAGGACAGTGGTAGTCCGTATAACTCCAAACAGAGAAACCCTGTCAGAGCTGTCCCTCTCATGAACACGACGCCGACATGCCCTTAGTGTGGCTGTCCACAGATCTGACCCATCGCACAAGGCTCGGCTGCCCTTCCCCAACATCATACAGCCCGTACTCGAAGCCAGACCAGAGGTTACTGGGCCAGGCCGCGTAGCTTTGTGAAGGAGCAGGCATGGAGAATGAGCCCAGGCCAGACCATCTCTTGTCATGCCAATGAAGCTGTTTGAATTTGAATTTGAGGCTGACACCAAGGTTGAGAGAGAGAGAGTGAGAGAGAAAGACAGAGAAAGAGGCTGAAGGATAGACCAAAGCAAAAGTAAGCGAGGCAGGGGTAGAGCGTGAGGGATAGACTCGTAGAAAGGAATAAAGAAGGAGAAAGAATTTGAGAGAGACGGAGAGGGGTTGTGCCTATGTGAGAAAGACAGAGAATCAGTACATAGAGTGTGGTCTACCTAAAACAAAACGGGGGGAGTGAGAAAAAAGCCCCTTTCAACGTTTTGGTAGTGTTTTTTTCCCCTCACTTTCCCTGTTTGAAAGGGAAAGAGGGGGAAAAGATTTGATGGTCTCCAACAAAGGAGATTTGCATAAGCCTGGCTCTGGGAGTCGAGCAGCTGTTGTGAATGAGAAAGCAGCAGCGTCACGTCACCCGTATTAAGCGCAGCAGGGCCCGGCCTGATTAAAGCAAGGGAATGGGCCCATCAGAGCGGCCCGCTAGCTAATGGGGGGGGGGTATTAGTCTGCCTCTCCAGGAAGGGGATGCCAAGGAGGAGTTATGTTTCCATGTATGAGAGACACCAAGAAGGGCACTCCAATGGGCTTCCTTCCAGACCCAGAGATCTGTTAATTGCTGCCAATTAAAAGGAGGTTAAATAAGAAGTGATCGATTCAGATTTAGGATGTTGCGGAGTGGAATTGTTTATCTCATTAGTCCTGGAGGGTACGTCTTCCATAATTAAGTGCACATGGCTGTAAAAAATAAACAGTTCTCACTGTTTGTTTGTTTGGTCTGTCACTCAACATGTAGCACCATGTGGAAAGTTTCCACCGCGTAATGCCTAGCTTGAGAGGCAGAAGAATGTCTCAACAGGAGCAACAGTAGGTTGCTCTCCACTGCAGTAACTCTATATGATGCTTCATGAGAAAACTGTCAAGAATAGATGTTAAGAAAACACTTGACAAAGTGGACACCAGCGTGGAAAACGAGAGAATGTAAATGGGAATCCCGAGGGAAGAGACACTGCCAGCGTGGAACACAGTCAGCTTAAACCTCCAAGAGGATATGGTATCTGTGGAGTTTGTGGATTTTCTCTTCTCCTGTGTAGGGGTTATTTTAGTGAAATTGGCAGTTATGCCCTCTACCCCATCAAGTACAGAACACATCTTCCATCATAAAATTAGAGCAATGCAATGGAATGTAGTTTATGCAAAAGTACAGCGTCCTTGAAGTTGTGGCTGTTGAGTGACAACCATTGTTATCTTATCTCTTCCCTGTAAGATATTTTCCCCCCATGTTTTAGCAAAAAATCCCCAAGGAAAACTTCAGAATGCTACTACAAATTAAATTTACTAATACATTTTTCAGCCGATTGTTAGATTCTGTGCTTTTTGTGCATTTAGCAGGATATCTTAAAGTGGCTATAATCACTATTTTTATATTAACAATGACTATGATTATGACTATGTGCCTATGACTATGTGAAAGCAGATGTTAGTAGTGATGAACCCACAGAGAATTATCACCAAACTCTACAGTTACCCTCAGCTCTGCAGAGCCTTTTAGCATGTCTCTGCTCATTCTTTTGGTTTAAGGCCCTCAACTTTACTGTTTTTATCCACTGTCACCTCTCTCATCAACCTTGTTTTGACAAGCAGCAGGCAGCAGTTATCAGTGAAAAATTTCTTCCTAGCTGTGTCTGTCCAATGGCAGACAGGCACAGTTGGTGACTACCTAGGGAACATAGTGGAGCATTTAGCAGTTAATAACAGTGATATACTTCTCCTAGGAGTTTTTGGACACCAAAACCAGAGCTAAAAGGAGAGTAAATATTGGACTAGAGCCCAGATACACATTGTTCTATGTCTGCTGGATGTGTAAAAACTGTTCGCTAACACGTTCACCATATCTATGTATAAGACTTTATTGAATCATTGTGTTGTGTACAGCTTGCTTCTGCTTTCCCCAAGAGGGGAAAAAAATCTATTAAGGCAGGTTTGAAAACTAATTTCAGTGAAAGTCAGGCTATGGGTCAAGGAACAAGTGAGCTGTTTGTGGTGCAGATCCGGATGCAGTGGTGCCATCAAATGGTCATTTTATATCACTTTACATTTTAGCACCAAACCCCCTAAACTGTGATTCCTGAAACCAAACTTTTTCCCTTTGTTTCAAGGAAAAGGCTACCTCATTCTTTCTTTCGTTCCTTTTACTTTGTATTCAGATTTTTACCAGTTTGACCCATTTTTCTGTGTTCTTAATGTAAATATAAATAATGAACCCTATGTATCATACCATATGTATGTTTTTTTTTACCAGTTTCATAGGAATATGCAATATGATGTATTTGAATGTCAAATTATGCACTTGCAATTTGGACCAATTGACACAGCAATTTGCTGTGCATTGTTTTTTTTTAACCACAGAAACTCTCTTGTATTTTCCAGCCGTCCCTTCAGCTCCACAGACTGTTATCTCCAGCGTGAATGAAACCTCTGTGATGCTGGAGTGGATGCCTCCTCGGGATTCGGGGGGCCGCGAGGACGTAGTCTTCAACATCATCTGCAAGAGCTGTGGCGGAGGCCGGGGAGGCTGCACCCGCTGTGGGGACAACGTTCAGTTTTTGCCCCGTCAGCTGGGCCTTACAGAATCCCGGGTCTACATTAGTGACCTGCTGGCCCACACGCAGTACACGTTTGAGGTGCAGGCTGTCAACGGGGTGTCAGATCAGAGCCCTTACTCCCCTCAGTATGCCTCAGTCAACATTACCACTAACCAGGCTGGTAAGTGGGCCCATCTGTCTTTTTTTACACTTCATATTCCCCGTGTGGTTTCCTCTTCTCTTCTCCCCACCTCTTCATCACACTCATTCCTCTATAAGCACATAATGCACAGTGCAAAGACCTACACTAAGTCAGTTTCTTTCCTCTCCTGTATGGTGATGTATGCAGATTAAGTGCTCTAAAATGGGAAGGAGAGTGCTGTTGATGATGTGACAGGCAGAATGTGATGGCCTGCTGGTCTTTACACTGTGACCTCATCACAATGTTTTTTAGACTGTGGAGCTGAGAGCAGGCTGACTGCTGTCTCTCCACTTCATTCAGCGATTACAGCTCCATTCTCATCCACCCACTTGATTGTAGTGTTGCATTTATAAAAAAACAGTAGTATGTGCATAGTCTATAGCTAAATACATACTGTGTATGAGCCTTGTAAACTAAAACACTACTTCTAATAAGCCAGTTTTCCAGTATGTTCTGAGGCCTAATGAAAAGCAGGTTCCCTTAGTGACTGGGGTAACTATTTAATCTGTAGGATTTTCTAGAAGTACACCTCAAAATCTCCTTCAATCTCTCTCCAGCAACTACTGGGGCCTTGCATGCTTTCCACTATGTGGTTGCGGTTAAAGTCGGCCGCATCCCTAATTATTTCACAAAGGCAGCAGCATTGATTTGCTCTTTAATTGTCTCTATGAAACGCATCATTTGGCGTGGCAAGCCTTTCTCCTCCAAGCACTGATGAGCGGGGGGATACAGGCTGGGCTTTATCTTTGCACTGGCTTTATATCCCATTGGCAACAAACGTAAGTGCCTGTCATCTCTCATCATCCGTCCCCCTGCACTGAGGGCAGTCTTCTATGACTAAGCTACCTAAAGCACTGTGTTAGTGGGCTTTTACTACAGCGGACATATTGGGTTTTGTTTAACTGCACTCTCACTCTCTCATTACTTTCCTCTGGAATTCCCAGATGTCCAGATGTCTACATGGAAGCAGTCAAATAGGTTATATAGGGTATAATAGGACCAAGGGTATACGAGTTGGATGGACACATTTTTACACTTGACCCATTGTAGCAATGTTTACATAAATCTGTTTGTGTAAAAGCTGCATAAAGTACTCAGTTACAATGCTGAAACTCTAAGTCACACTAAAATGGAAGGCTTTATTCAAAGTGCAACCTCTTTTTATTGTCTGTTTTGATTTGAGTCACTGGTGTGGTGGGTTAATGAGGGCCTGTGAGTGCAGTTAAGCGTTGTAATGAGGCCCCTGCCCCACTCTTTCTCACTGGGCCACAATAAGTCCGCCACAGCAACCCTTGGCTTCTCTGCTTCCCCTGCCGTGGGGTCCTGGCGGAAATTGGGGGGCTCTGCGCCCTCTCCACTGAAGTGCCCGTCACTTTGGATTAGGCAGCAAGAGCTCCCGTCAGAGGGAGCTGTGAAAAGAACTCAACTCTTGCTTGCCCTCACTCCACCCTCCTACCTTCCCCCATCACCCTGCAAAACCAGACTCACCCCTGGGACACGGGATTTCAGTTTTGCGGTGCAATGCTACAGGGCTAGGGTCACAGGGACCAGGAGCCCATAATTGCATCTGGTTTGTGAGGCTTGGAGGTTACATAAACATCATGTCATCCTTAATTACCTCAGGCAGATGTGTGCCTCACTTTTACACTGAGAATAAGAGCATTAGATGAAGAAAAACAAAAACCGGGCTGTATGAAATTTTGTTTACATATATGCGTGTTAAACAGCCCCTTAGTAAGCTTGCATTTGGCCGGAAGCAGGAGCGTTCCGTGAGAGCAACAAATAAATAAGTAAAGTGGCATGAAAGTGTGTCACATTTCTTGTGCGGACGGCTGCCGTCCTCAGCTATGACTTGTTGGTGTGAGGGGTGGGGGCAGGGGAGCAGAGTTGTGCGAGATGTGAGCAAAACTTCTCACTCACCATACCCAATCAAGCACCCACCACACTCTATTACCCACAGGGCTTATCCTCCCACTCTGTAGGTGGTTGGCGACAGTTCCTCTGTGATAAAGGACGTGATTGCCCTGGAAAGTGCGGCGGTTGATTACACACTGTAATGCCACACAAAAGGAGATGCCGTGCTGAATGGCTTTTGAGACCGTTTTATAAGCATATGACTAATTCCCCAAAACTTGTATTGTGTTGAATATGCAGAAACCTTGAAATGCCTCCAATGCCTTTTTATAATAATGAGTCACAAGTAAGCCATCTATTTTGGCTTTGCTCTGTCTATAAAATGTTACTCTTTGCATGACATTAAATGAGCGGAGGGAGTGAGACAGAGTTGCAAATCTGATGCTCTCTGTCAGGGACTGAGGGTGAAAACCATAGTGTTTCTAGGTGTTACAATGATTTAACTGTGTCTGACAGGGGAGAGACTGGTGACAGAAGACCAGTCTCACAAACAGTAGACGTAGATGAACACCATGGTTGGAGTGGGCAAATTTAATTAAATTTTCGCACTGAAGAATTACATATATCTATATTAATGCAGTTGTCAAATTTTGAGTTGTTAAATGTTCGTTGAAATAGCCAGCTTTAAGAAGACTCTGAAGTACCTACATTGACCTTTGAAACTACTTCACAAAATCTTTTCTTCTCCTTTTCCAGGTTCTTTTCTTCCCCTATCTTAGTTGGCCTACATTGATTATTGAATGGATTGAAAGTTTTTGCTGAAACCATATTCCCACCATGAAGTTTAATCAAATGTTTGTGATAGTATGTGATTTTGTCCTAATATACTTCACAATACTACATCATGCCATTTTGTCTTCACACAGTGTGGGACACATGCCTGGATAGACCGACTGCAAACACACACAAGAACACACGCAATATATATTTTTATGCATCTTGCACACACATATCAGCAAGTGTTTGATTTCAGAATTGGGTTGGGATATAATAAATATCTTAACTAGTAAAAACTTAAATAATGTGTAAATAAGTTGCTAAGACACATTGATATCACTGCCAAATTGGTTGTAGTTTCAAAAATTACAGTTTTAGAGTGGAAAACATAAAGTAAATTTATGGATTGCTTAATTGTATTTATGTCTGCATACATGGAGAAATATATGTCTCAGAGAGTAGTATTCATATATTTTAGAATGAGGGTAAAAAATGTGATTATGCTGACACAACTGCCGTCAGTGTTTCCCACATATAGACTATACTTGGGCGGGTAGCCCAGGTATATTAACGGCCGCCAAAGTATCTGGTATCTGTGATCTGGTATTACTTTTCAAAACACAGACACGGTGGATATTTTACAAGAACAGACCAGGTAAATCAACAGCCAGCAGTGAACACACGAGTTCAGATGTCATTTGGTACCACTTTAGATTGTTACGATAGGCTACATCATTAACAAGCCCCCCCCCCCACCGCTGCCTCCACAGTTACATTAATTTAGTCATGCGTAAAACTGTAAAAGTCTGTTTCTTTAAGTTATGAAGACACAAACAGATAATAGCTAATAACTAATAATGTGACTGCCGGTTATTTGCTAGCTTGAAGTAGAGCTGCTGGATCATCAATTTCAGTGTAGAGAAAAGAGATTATCTCCTACATGAATACAAACTATCAGTATTTACCAACATAATTCAGCCTTGCACAACAGATAAATTAGATCTCCATATACCCAGTATGCCATATTGCATTCTATAGTGGTCGGGCATATTAGATTCCAGTGGACATATTTGTTTAGGCATTTCATTAACTCAAGGTGAGCCAAAGTGTCTGCTGCTAATGCTATCGAGGAGCAGAGGGTCTGAATTGGTTTCTTATCAGGTGAACTGGCTGAAGTGAATCACATTACTCAGATGGTGGGGGTGTAATCGGGTGCAGCCTTTTCATATGGTCTAGGGACGATTTATGACTTAATTATTGTCCAAATTGCTCTAGTCCACTGTAACCAGGCTACCAGGGACTTTGCTGCTTCACTGGTGTGAAAAGCACTGGTGCAGAGCCAGGCGGTACTGCCAGAATGTGTCGATACACAAGCCAGCCAAGTGTGGCTACTACACTGTTGACTTTAGGACAGTGCCACCAACAAACAAAGTAGATTCATTGTGGTCCATTGGTACATTTGTGGCAATGACATGGCTTTCTAGTTGATTATCTGCCTTTATCTTAAGCAAGGCTATTTTAATCTTTGTGACTTTCTATGTAACAATTCTAGAACAGAGCTAGTTCATGCACAAAAGTAGTCCTTATGTGCTTTATTAACAACTACCAGAGATTTTGTTTACAGTTTCATAAAAATGTATACATCCTCATGTTGGCTCAGTCATGGTATATAATCAAGATCGCAAATTACACTTAAAACTATAAAGTCAATTCTCTCATTAGATGAAGTCATCTACATGTAAAAGATAATTATGGCAAGGGATACATTCTAACTAGGGAGAAAATGAATAGGTATGTTAAATAAAACAACAATAACCACTAATTCAGGCTTCTGTATTTTCAGCAAATACTTAAGCTCTAAAAACATCGGAGTGATAGAGAGATGCGTGCAGAAAGATAAAGAGGCTGAGAGACAGAGAGTCAGAAATGGACCACCAATATACATGGTGTGCAGTGTGACAGTGACAGAAGGTGTCAAGAAGGGCACATATGGTGGGTGCCAGTGTGGGTCAGCCAGGCAGACAGACAGGAGGCCTCAGCGTGCACCTGGAGCTCAGTTCTGACAGAGCCTTGAAACAAGGCTGCTCTGGTAGTCAGCCAGGCAGCCACACATACACTGAATCCACGATGCTACTGTTGATACAGAGCAACCTGTTTACAAAGACAGATTCAGACAAGCACTGCAGCGAGTTAGATTAGCGATAAAGTGTATGGTAAGCAGCCCGGAGGGTTGACAGTGTAGTTCATCAGGTGACTTTAAATAACCTATTCATGCAATATGAATTTAATTATGACTCCCCAGAAGAGCGCATGGATTGTCAAAATTAGTTAACTGATTGATCTTGTTC